TATATATATATATATGTATATATATATATATGTATATATATATATGTGTATATATATATATATGTGTATATATATATATATGTATATTTGTGTATATATGTATGCATATATATTTATATCCCTTTAACACGTGCAAAGCACACCCATCCAAAACAATCAATCGTCATGTACAACAATGCTTAAAGACTTTTATGGAAAGTCCTTTTTGTTGTTGATCATGGTGTAACGCTCATCTCTGTGCATGTTTCTGTTTTCAGCTTTAGGTCTGCTGTGAGACAACAAATGTGCATGGTATATGAAACTGTGCACACTGGTCAGAGATTTCCAGTTTGACTCATTCAGCTCTACTGATGCTTGTTTTAGAAACGCTGCCTTGTTGTTTTCACCGGGTCACCATCTCATTTCTGTTCGTCCCACAGGTTGTTGAAACAGCTGGGCTTTGGTGAAGACGAGCTCCACGTCTTCCAAGGATGACTTCAGCATCCCTGAAGAAACTGAACGAAGGAGGAAGACTTTGTGCTTTACTAAATCAACTTGTCGTGTGGGACATGCAGGAAACCAAACATTTGTATTCACTAAAGTCATGATGCTGAAAGCATGCACCACCAGCAGCAGTACTGATTTGTAGTCACAGTTCAGATCGATTCTCGGGGAAACACATTTTAGTGAACAAAAATGTCACGTTTTAAAGAAGTGTAAAACAAAAATATAAAAAATAGAAATAAAAATTGTAATAAAAATAACCTGTACCTGTGGATGTTCTGGTTTCCTTTATAAAATAAATATCACTCACCGTTAGACTTTCATCTTATGATGGGAAATAAAAGTTGCTAAACAGGTGACTCCCAGTCCCCAAAAACAATCGGCTCAACAAGAACAACAACAACAACATTGACAAGGTGCAACAATCAGTGGCCAGAGCTGGAGCGAGGCTGGAGAACAAGAACCATCAGACCAACATCTTATCTGGCCTCCCTCGCTCATCCAGCAGGCGGAGCTTGGTCCTTTTAGGCCACCCTCAGCCAATCAGCTGCACAATCAGAAAAGGAGCATTAATTACAAACACACACGGACATAATTGACGCACAGGCACGTCACACCTCCACCCCTAAATGCTGAGTGATGGGTTAACACAACAATCGGCAGCAGCAGCATAAAAACGAGACAATGTGTCAATCAAAAATGCCGTCATTACCTTTTATGTGTGTTTTTCCCCTTTTGTTTCTTCTTTATTTTTGTTTCAACTCCACGGGAGTATTTAAGTTTACCCTGCAGCCTGGCCTTACACAGACTGTCAATGACAGGTCCACTGGAGAACTCACCTCACCCGGGAGAGACCGCAGCCTGGGGGATGTGGCTGACCCAGCGGAGGACAGGGTTTAACAACAGACAGACTCTTACCTCGTTCGTGATATAATTTCTGTCTGTTGGGGTGGCACGGGCGGTTGCGTTGCCCACGTTTTTTACGTGCCTGGGCGCGCGTAATTATGCACACTGGAGACGTGCGGGAAATGTTATCTTGAACCTCATTTGATCTTTCAGAACTCACCGAGGCCAAACTTCTGGATTAACCAGAATTTTGCCTCCGGCCAAATCGTTCCCTAAATAAAGTCAACGCCTTTAACTGAAAAGGCATGACATGCTGCCACCACGACGTCTCCAGACACCAACTCACACTTTAAATTAATGCGATGCAGGGGAGTGTTAGTAAAATTACTCCCAAAGCCTTGCACCCATTCATAAGCATTTAAAGAAGTTTCAGATAAAGGCTAGACGCTGTTTAAAATAATGGATCTGGAAGCTGCTGTGTCTCTTAACATAGTAACCGGCACTTTAGCACCACCTGCCACAGAGACCTCGCCCTTCATAAGAAATGGCGAGTAAATATCCAAATCCGTTTTCCCGACACCGCAGGTGACGGGGACCGGCGGAGTCTTCACCAGCGCGACTGCTTTAGAAGAGGAAGCACTTTTTTTATTAAGCATAAAGCAGTCAGGCTGAATGTGACCAGGTTTTTTGCAATAAGTACAAACGGGCTTGAACTTACTCGCTCCTTTTTCCGAGGTCTGCTCCAGCTTCATGTCAGATCCTGCAGAGCGCACAGCAGGGGGGCTGCGCTGCTCCACCTGAGACCGCTTTTCAAAAACAGATTTATGAATTAAAACATACTCATCTGCAAGTACAGCTGCCTTAGAAACTGCATTTACTTTGTGTTCATTAATATAAGTTGCAATCTGTTCAGGTATACAACTTTTAAACTCCTCCATTAGGATCAACTCACGTAATTGATCAAAGCTTTGTATGTCTTGTGCCAAACACCAGCGATCAAAAAGCACTTCTTTTGCATGAGCAAATTCAAGATAACTCTGACTGTCAGTTCTCCTCAGATGGCGAAACGTTTGTCTATAAGCCTCTGGCATCAATTCATATGTCCTGAGCACAGCTGCTTCACATGATCATAATCCAGACTTAAATCTGGTGACAGTGAAGCATAAGTCTCCTGAGCTTTACCTGTGAACACACACTGCAATAATAAAGGCCACACCTTTTTAGGCCATTTTAAAGTCTTAAAAAGTTTTAAAGACTTTCAAACAGAACAAAATATTTGTCCACATCTTTGTCCGAAAAAGCTGGTATTAAATGGATGCACTTGGTCACATCAAACTCAGATGAACCTGACTGTACAGGTGATGCGCTCAGCTCGAGCTCTTTTAGCCGAACCTCCCTCTGAGTTTCAAGCTCCAGTCTACGGAGGTCCAGCTCTTTCTCTAAGAGCCAGGCGCTGCAGTTCAATTTTTAATTCAAGTGCATGGACATCAGGTGTAGATTTTTCAATCTCCTCAGCCTCAGAAACAGCAGTAGGAGTCATCTGAGATAAAATATCAGTTTCGGTCAAAGCAGACAAAATCTCAGATTTCATCGCCTTCTTATTTAACTGTTTAGACACTGAAATAGAAAAATAAGCAGCAAATGGCAACAGCTGCTCTTTTGTGCAGCGATCAAGTTGCTCAATTATTGGCTGCTCTGCAAAATCCTCCACATTGAACTCCATTTTGTTCAGGAAGTGGAGCACACAAGAGAATAGGAGGAAGTTACACTCCTAGCAGACACTAAAGTAGAAATATGCACTGTCACAAACTCAATAAATGTGCGGCTTAGGGAACTTTAAATCCCGCGTTTCAGCTGTGCAGCCACACGTTACCATGGCAACCCGACACAAGACGCTGACACGTCTAACAAACAGACAAGCCCCCAAATATGTTATGGTCCCAATAAGTCAAGGAGAGGGCAGGACCTACAACATACAGTGCCTTGCAAAAGTATTCAGCCCCCTTGAACTTTTCAATCTTCTGCCACATTTCAGGCTTCAAACATCCATCCATTATCTTTACCCGTTTATTCCATTTTGGGTCACGGGGGTCGCTGGTGCCCATGTCCAGCAATCACTGTGCGAGGGGCGGGGTACACCCTGGACAGGTCTCCAGTCCATCACAGGGACACATAGAGACAAACGAGACAAACAATCATTCACTCTCTCACTCACACCTAGGGACAATTTAGAGTTACCAATCAGCCTAACATGCATGTTTTTGGTCTGTGGGAGGAAACCGGAGTACCCGGAGAAAACCCACGCAGCACGGAGAGAACATGCAAACTCCACCCAGAAAGGCCCCTGGACCGGGGTTTGAACCAGGGATCTGTTCGCTGAGAGGCAGCAGCTCTACCAGTTGTGCCACTGTGTTGCCCCGGCTTCAAACATAAAGATATAAAATTTTATTTTTTTGTGAAGAATCAACAACAAGTGGGACACCATCGTGAAGTGGAATGAAATTTATTGGATGTGTCAAACTTTTTTAACAAATAAAAAACTGAAAAGTGGGGCGTGCAGTATTATTGGGCCCCTTTACTTTCAGTGCAGCAAACTCACTCCAGAAGTTCAGTGAGGATCTATGAATGATCCAATGTTGTCCCACATGACTGATGATGATCAATAGAATCCACCTGTGCGTAATCAAGTCTCCGTATAAATGCACCTGCTCTGTGAGAGTCTCAGGGTTCTGTTCAAAGAGCAGAGAGCATCATGAAGACCAAGGAACACACCAGGCAGGTCTGAGATACTGTTGTTTAAAGCAGGATTTGGATACAAAATGATTTCCCAAGCTTTAAACATCCCAATGAGCACTGTGCAAGCAATCATATTGAAATGGAAGGAGTATCAGACCACTGCAAATCTACCAAGACCCGGCCGTCCCTCTAAACTTTCATCTGGAACAAGGAGAAGACTGATCAGAGATGCAGCCAAGAGGCCCATGATCACTCTGGATGAACTGCAGAGATCTACAGCTGAGGTGGGAGAGTCTGTCCATAGGACAACAATCAGTCGTACACTGCACAAATCTGGCCTTTATGGAAGAGTGGCAAGAAGAAAGCCATTTCTCAAAGATATCCATAAAAAGTGTTGTTTAAAGTTTGACACAAGCACCTGGGAGACACCAAACATGTGGAAGAAGGTGCTCTGGTCACATGAAACCAAAATCCAACTGTTTGACCACAATGCAAAACGATATGTTTGGTGTAAAAGCAACACAGCTCATCACCCTGAACACACCATCCCCACTGTCAAACATGGTGGTGGCAGCATCATGGTGTGGGCCTGCTTTTCATCAGCAGGGACAGGGAAGATGGTCAGAATTGATGGAAGATGGACGGGGCCAAATACAGGACCATTCTGGAAGAAAACCTGTTTGAGTCTGCAAGAGACCTGAGACTGGGACGGAGATTTATCTTCCAACAAGACAATGATCCAAAACATAAAGACACATCTACAATGGAATGGTTCACAAATAAACATATCCAGGTGTTGGAATGGCCAAGTCAAAGTCCAGACCTGAATCCAATCGAGAATCTGTGGAAAGAGCTGAAGACTGCTGTTCACAAACGCTCTCCATCCAACCTCACTGAGCTCCAGCTGTTCTGCAGGATGAATGGACAGAACTTCAGTGTCTCCATGTTCAAAACTGACAGAGACAAACCCCAAGAGACTTGCAGCTGGAACTGCAGCAAGAGGCGGCGCAACAAAGTATCAACGCAAGGGGGCCCAATAGAATTGCACGCCCCACTTTTCAGTTTTTCATTTGTTAAAAAAGTTTGACACATCCAATAAATTTCATTCCACTTCACGATTGTGTCCCACTTGTTGTTGATTCTTCACAAAAAATTAAAATTTTATATCTTTATGTTTGAAGCCTGAAATGTAACAAAAGGTTGAAAAGTTCAAGGGGGCCAATACTTTCGCAAGGCACTCTATATGTATATATATGTATATATGTGTGTATATGTGTGTGTATATATGTATGTGTGTGTATATATGTGTATCTATGTATGTGTGTGTATATATGTGTATATGTATGTGTGTGTATATATGTGTATAAGTATATATATATGTATGTGTGTGTATAAGTATATATATGTATATGTGTGTGTATATGTATATATATATGTATATGTGTGTGTATATGTATATATACTATGTGTGTATAAATATGTGTATAAATATATATGTAATTATGTGTATATATATATATGTATTTATGTGTATATATGTGTATTTATATGTATATATGTGTATATATATATATGTATATATGTGTATTTATATGTATATATGTGTATATATGTATATGTGTATGTATGTATATATGTATATATATATGTATATGTGTATGTATGTATATATGTATA